ATGTTTATAACACAAGTAACCAGCAAACTATAATCAGCAAGATTCTGTAAACATCCCTTCAAAGCACATAATGGCATAAAGCTTTCTGCTTACCCAGCAACTTTCTCTAAATGAGTTTAAGACATGTTCGGAACAATGTAGTTCATTAATCACTAGCATGTCAAGGTGGGGTATTGTCTCCGTTTGCAAGATCAGGAAATCACAGAGCTGATGCCTTAAGTAGTTTTTAAACCAACCATACAGAGAATTAAAGAGTCACTGAGACGGTGCCTGAATCGATCAGGATGGGCTAGGTTGGGCTGTGATGACAAACAACCCCATAGGTCACAGTGGCTTAACCGCTCGCACTACACATCCATCAGGCCAGTGAGAGCAGAGCCCTCCCTCCCAGCGATGGGCAGCTACCCGTTGGGCTGTCGCCACTCACCGTGACAGTGGAAGAGAGAGTGTGGCTTTTCGAGGGACACGAGATTCAGGAGTTGTAACCTCAGCATCTTCTGCATCTGCTCTCTGCCCCCTCAGTGCCTTTATTTCCCTATTTGTAAATTGCACGTAATAAATTTAGGCTTTTCTTCATTGAGAGTGATGCGTGCGACCCATCATAATGGTCGTATAAAGCAACGGGACTGACCTTTTTCATTTTTTAACCGAAGATAAACATTCAGATAGGTACAATCGTGTACAAGGGTTCATTTGACATGATAGCTTATTCTGGTGGTGCTGCTGTTGCCTGGTCGATGAGTCACCAAGAAATTTCGTTTTCTTACTATAGACAGCGTTGTGGTTACAGGCTAAATCACAGGGCTCTGTCACCACAGAGAAGCCAAAAGTCCATCTCCCCTAGGCTCCCAGAGTGGCATCTATTACTCTGGTGATTTCTTCAGCATGTCGAGTCAGTTCTTAAGCTCTGCAGACTCAGAAACATGATTTTTCATTCTCGGGGGAAGAACTTACCCAAGTTCAAAGTACCAAAGTGTAAATCCATACTGGGAGTGACCTGGCTTCCGGTAAGTGGCATAGCCCCCACCCGGACAGGGCCCTCAGGGCACGTGATCCCTGACCTCCCACCCAGGAAGGAGAGTCAGCAGGGGCAGGATGGCAGAGGGGGGATGCTCGTGGCCCGTGAGTCTGGCCTGACTTTATTTGGAATCCTGGATTTGCTGTGAGAGGGAGGACTGACTGTCAACTCCAAGCCTTAAAACCTCCACCGGCAAAGGAATCATAGAATCTTATTCTAGATGGTAAGGCGATGGTACCTGAGAGGGCTCAGCACCACGTCTGGGGCGTAGCATGGCCTCAGTGAGTTCTTCAGAAAGCGCGGCCTTAGGAAAGTTACACAGATGAGCATTTCCTATGACCAGATGAAGTAACCCCCTGCCTCCACGTGTGTCCTTGTAGGAGGCCTTACCGCTGGGGCCCCGGTGCCCGAGGCCTCTTGGCTAAGACCCCATTTGCTTCCTCCTTCATCCCTCACCCCCCACACACCTTCCACTCCCTCCACTCCTTCCACAGAGTGAATAACTATACCAGCCCTGAGAGTAATTCTTTCCCTTTGTGGGTAAGTTTATGTGTCTCTGATCAATCCCATTGAGATGCTGGCTTCAACATTTAATCTTAAAGGGAAGGAAATCTGATTTCTGTCATTTCCAATTTGGGGCCAGAAACCTCACCATAAACCCCAAGAACCCACAATAATTACATAATAGTCACACCTCATTTTATAAAACCAGTTTGACCACCTCCTCCTCCCCATCTTGTCCCCAGTCCCTATACTTAACTTTAAGTGACTTTTGCCACTTGGAAAAAAGGGATCAAATCCATTCTGAGTGCAAAAAATTTATCACAAGTGAGGATTGCTTTTACAAATATGACCCGAGCTTCACAGGCAACCCAAAAGATTATCTAAAACATTTTAAGAATTAGCAGGCACCATAGGAATACTGTGACTACTTGAAAAGCAGTGGCCATCATTTGGATAGATAAAGTATGGCGCACTGAGATTTAAAAGTCGGCCATACCTACCTCACATTCGGTCACAACATCTGCATTAAATGCTCTGTTTCTGGGCAGCCAGGGACCTCCTGGGGGCGGGGACGGGCCTAGAGGTGGGGCTGAGCCTGCAGCAAACACGGCCTGCACCCCCTCCCTTGGATCTACTTTGTAATTGATTGGTGACATCCTGAGCTGAGCCGCGTTTACCCCACCACAGCCCCCCATGGTAGGCTACCTACCGTTTGGAAGGCGGGTCTTACAGAAAATCTCGAATTCCCTGTTGGTTACAGGGATTACATATTCACTTTTTCCCGTTTTAGCATGAGCAGAAGTATAGAACATTAAATGGTATTAGTTTATCGAGATTAATTCCCCTGTTGATTTCTGGCTTCCAGGGAGAGATCACTCTGCTCTACCTTCAAACCCAGTCCTGTCATTTCCAGTTGTTTTTATTGGTAAATGGATGGCCATGGGGGCCCAGCAGCTGCTACCTATGAGCCCAGGAGTGAGACAGCAAAGGAAACTCTCTGCTTTGGCTTTTTAAAATGAGCATAAACTAGTAGTTTGTGCCCCTGATAAGCACTCCTTTTTTTTCCCTAAGATTTTATGTATTTGACAGAGAGAGATACAGCGAGAAAGGGAACACAAACAGAGAGAGTGGGAGAGGGGGAAGCAGGCTTCCCACCGAGCAGGGAGCCTGATGCAGGGCTCGATTCCAGGGACCTGGGATCTTGACCTGAGCCAAAGGCAGACACGTTATGGCTGAGCCACCCAGGGGCCCCTGATAAGCACTCCTTATCAGCAGGTGCTATGTGCCACTCATTTCTCTGTGTCCTGCAGTATTGGCTCCTTGCCCTGCCCAGATTAGACGGTCAGTAAATATTTGTTGAATTAAAGGGAAATGTACCTGAATTAGTCACTTTGGGCTGCCATTACAAAATACAGCCTGGGGGGCTTGAGCAACAGAAATTTATTTTCTCACAGTTTTTCAGGCTGGAAGTTCAAGACCAGGGTGCCCACATGGTTAGGTTCTCATGAGGGCCTTCTTCCTGGCTTGCAAACAGCCGCCTTGGCCCCGTGTCCTCCCTCACGTGGTGGAGAGAGAGAGCCTGAGTGATCTCTCTGATGCCTCTTCTTGCAGGGTCACTGATCCTGTTCGTGACAGCCCCGCCCTCGTGACTTCACCTAACCCTAATTCCCCTCCCAAAGGTCCCATCTCCAAATGCCACCACAGTAGGGATTAGAGCCTACTGGGTGGCTTGGATCATGATCTCGGGTTCCTGGGATCGAGCCCCATGTCAAGGCTCCCGGCTCAGTGGGGAGTCTGCTTCTCCCTCTCCCTCACCCAGCTCATTCTGTCTCTCTCAAATAAATTAATTTTTTAAAAATCTTTAAAGAAAGAAATGAAACTGTCCTGTAACTCTTGTTACATTATCTCATCCATTCTCCTAACAGGGTAACCACTAGAATAGGAAACATACTCAGGAAGGTATATGGATGTGCACAGATGCACACTCACGTTCACACACACAGAAGCAATACACAAATCTTTCTCTTCTGGAACCTTTGTTTTCGCTCTGAGCTTAGAGACCTAGCAAGTACGGTGGAATACTGTAGTTATTGTAAGGACAATGTGTTTGTGGGTACTTGACCTGGAAGCTGGATTAGAAATACCTACTCCCGTTAGCTCCGTGTGTCCCGCAGACGGCCCCACCTCACAGCCCGGCCTTCTGGGCCCTCCTTGCTTGTGATTGGCAAAGGTGAACGATGTGTTACCAGTACAGACTTCGACAGTGATTTCATGCCTAAACCCCTGGCATACTCCTTTAGATTGGCAGAGGTGTTTTAAAGAAGAGTTTATGATAAAAACACTCTCACATAAAGATTGTTCTTCTCCTAAAATCTTTAAAAAAAAAATATTTGGGGCTGCTCCTGGGTGGCTCAGTCCATTAACATCTGCCTTCAGCTCAGGTCATGATCCCAAGGGTCCTGGAATTGAGGACCCTGCTTCTCCTTCTCCCTCCACCTGCCTCTCTGCCTACTTGTGATCTCTTTCTTTGTCAAATAAATAAATAGAATTTTTAAAAGGTGGGGGGGTTGTGCCTGGGTAGCTCAGTGGGTTAAAGCCTCTGCCTTTGGCTCAGGTCATGATCCCAGGGTCCTGGGATTGAGCCCTGCATCAGGCTCTCTGCTCAGCAGGGAGCCTTCTTCCTCCTCTCTCTCTCTCTTTCTCTCTGCCTGCTTGTGATCTCTGTCAAATAAATAAATAAATAAAATCTTAAAAAAAAAAAAAAAGGCAGTTCTCCTTTGGAAAGGCAACTGGAGGGTGAATTTGTAATTCTCAAATTCCAGTCCCAAGGTTCTTTGGCTTTAATTTTAACATTCCTGGAGGATGGTACTTTTAATGTTTGTATTCAGAATTATGGAGTGGATAGATGGGTCAAAGGCAGAGTCTCTGGAGCGAGGATTCAAATCCCAGTCCCAACACTTGCTTAATCTCTGGTTCCCAGTTCTGGCCCATACAACAGAGTAAGTAGCAGGTGCACGTCCTGGGGCCGTGAGGAGCAGCAGAGATGCTGGGGTTTGTAACGTGCTTAGAACAAGTTGTGACATGCAGCACATACTATGTGAATGTATGTCACATGTGTATCCATAAAAATATATTCCTGTAAGGCATCTTCCTGTTGGTGCAGCATAAAATGTTCTCCTGTGTGGAGAAGAAGAGCTAGATGGTTTGACAGCCCTGCCAAACACAGCAGGTACCATTTGTTCTAGAGCAAACTATCGGGGAAACAAGGCGGAAGGTCTCCGCCTGTTCATGGCCCTGTGCTTGGCTCTTTGCTCGGTGGCGTCCTCGTTGTCTACTCCTGTTGGTTTTACAAAAATCATTCATGTACCTGAGTTTTGAGATATCCCATTTTAAAAATTCTATCTACCTGAGATTGAGTGTCTTAGGAAAAGTCTTACCTCTGCTCACTTGTCCTTTTTCCATCTTACCCTTCCTCCAGCCCAAGCTTTTGGCCAAGGAGCTGCTGGACCTCGTGGCCTCTCACTTCAATCTGAAGGAAAAGGAATACTTTGGAATAGCCTTCACAGATGAGACGTAAGTGCTACCATGGGCCCTCCAAACCTGCAGGGAGAATGAGACCCTGACATTGTGCTGTCCCAGCTGTCAACAGGGCAGTCAGCAGCGGGCCACTTGGGTCATGTGCTGCGGGGTCAGTCCAAGTTCATCGTCCGAATTTCAAAGACCTTGTGATCGTGCCTGGAACAGCCAAAGGATATAATTAGGGGGATGCTAATATAAAATTATTAGGTAAACTAGTTCTTAAAATCAAGCAGATTCGTGTTCAGAACTGAAATGTTTTTTTTTTTTTAAGTGGATTTTGTATGGGTTTGTTTCCTATTAAAGTTAAATGAAAACTTCTGGAAATTAAATATTTCTCTCCAATGGTAGAATAACAATAACAGGAAATGAATTTGATGATAAACTCAAAATGAAAAGTATTTGTGCAGTTTCACTGTCTTGGCTGAAATAGAATATAAAAATCGAAAATTTGTATCATTCATCTGGTGAAAAATACATTTGTTTTCAATGGTTTTCAATTTGGCTCTATAAAGTGGCATTTTGCAACCCAGGCAAGGAATATCTTTGCTAAAATTTCAATTTCCTCCTTAATATACTGTTATCAAAAGAACACATTGAACACCTGCACAGATTCCTAGATAAGATACAAAAAGGAAGTGTTTCACAATTTTTTTCCTTTGTGTATACTCACTCCCTCTCTCTCTTTCCAAATGTTTAGAATTACAGATGCGATTTCCTAGGATATTAACAGAGAAGGGTTAGGCCGGACAAGACATTACGGGCGTTGAGGGGGGCCATCTCCCCTCCCTCAAGATGCTGCCATCGAGGCAGGACAGGTTCAGATGCAAGGACAGTAGGCGCCCACATCAGGCAGTCGGAGGGGTTGTCAGATGTACCTGCCCACGGGTGCACTTTGCCTCAGGAGTTGCAAGTTGGCAGGGTGGCCGTCTGATTTATTGTCTGAATCAGTACAGTGTGAGTAAAAGGGCAGGTAAATGAGGGCTGTCTTAGATGAACTGGAACATTTGCCCTCTGAATTGGCAACATTTCAAGTGGTGGCGTGATCAGGTTGCAGGCGTGGGGAGCAGAGCTCCATCTTCCTCAGGAAAGCTGGGAGGGGCCGGGTCGGCCTTGGGATCTGGGCAGGAAGGAAAGCAGGAGAGTTGCCCTGGTCTAGAATGATCACTGTGCCTGCAAGGAGGACCAGCGAGCATGGCTGGGAGCTGGAGGACCCTGGTGGGAAGGAGCCAGCATAGAAAGAAAACAAATGCTTTAAAATAAATACACATCACAACTACTTTCACAAATGCAGGTGTGTTCTACCCTTTTTCCTGAGAATCACAGTTAAACCCCCTAAATTGCTAGTCATACATTTCACTAATTAGAGGGAAACCAGAAGTTTCAATTAATCATATCCCATTGTTCACATTGCCCGAGTATGTTTACTCTTGTAAAAGATCCGTGCACCCTGCATGAGCCCCAATTAGACTTCCCTTTGGAATAAACAAGAATCAAAGAAGAGGCATGTTGTCCCTGGCCAGTGAGGAAGAAATACGGCTGCTGAATTAGCACATGTGTGTCTGAACAGCACAGGCCACAAGGAATCGGCTGTAAGGTAGAAAGTCACTTTCTGGGGCACCTTGTGGCTCAGCTGGTGAGGTGTCCGACTCAGTCTGAGCTCAGGTCTTCATCTCAGGGTCATGAGTTCGAGCCCCACCTTGGGGTCCGTGCTGGTGTGGAACCTACTTAAAAAAAACAAGGACGCCTGGGTGTCCCAGTTGCTTAAGCATCTGCCTTTGGCTCAGGTCATGATCCCAGGGTCCTGGGATTGAGTCCCTCGTCGGGCTCCTTTCTCAGCGGGGAGCCTGCTTCTCCCTCTCCCTCTGCCTGTCACTCCCCCTGCTTGTGCATGCATGCTCTCTCTCCAACAAATGAATACATAAAATCTTTAAAAACAAAATAAAACCAGAAGACCCAGCCTGTGTGCTGTGGGTTTTAGTGCTCCTGGTTCTCTGGGCTGGTCAGGAAAGCATGGGGGCAAGTCACGGGGAGGATGTGAGCCATCCTCTGGCAGAATCCAGGGAGAGCAAGGCCACCACCGTCCCCTTCACCCCAGTCTGGGCGGGAGGATCTGTCCAGCAAGTGTCAGAGTGGCAGGCAGCTGGTGGGAGCTCAGTGGGCAAGGGCTGCAGCTGCCAGATGGGCCTGACTCATGGTGACCTGGCTAGTGTCAGGGGCCCCTCGGAAAACCAGGGCCCCCAAGGGACTAGGCCAAGGAGACAGAAACAAAGGGGTGGCCATGACTCAGGGCACAATCAATTGTGGCCTGACAACACCTGGGGCCAACAGATGTTGGCTGACGGACTTGTGGGTCATCTGAACTTCCCTCCTTTTCCTGGTAGGAGGGAGAGAGGAGGACAGCTGCCACCATGAACTTGTGCCTGCAGCTGAGTCCCGGCCTAGGTCGGTGGTCGTGTGTCAGTGAGTACTTGGCCTTGTGACAGGCGCCTCTGGCCCCCACTCCTAGGTACTGCTGGACTCATGTAGAATCTTTAATTTTATTTTTTTAAGATTTTGTTTGTTTATTTGAGAGAGTGACAAGCATGAGCAGAGGGAAGATTCAGAATGACAGGGAGAAGCAGGGAGCCCAAGGCAGGACTTGATCCCAGGACTCCTGGATCACGATCCAAGCCAAAGGCAGACGCTTAACTGACTGAACCACCCAGGCATCCCCAACATGGAATTTTTAAATAACCCTGTGTCCAAATTGTGCGTGTATGCTACGATGTGGAGTGTGTGTGTGTGTGTGTGTGTGACTTATGCAGGTGCAACACCGTGCCTCCTAAAATGAAATTGAAGTTTCATCTTTCATTATAGCCCATGGTATATACTTTGTGCATTTGCATATTTCCTAATGCAGATCAAACAAGACTAACATTTGGACAGGGCTCGTGAGCTGTAAAATACCAGGCAAGTATAAGATCCCACCAGCAGTATTATGATTCCTTATGATAGACCAGAAGACTTCAAGGCCATTGATGGCCAGCATGGCCTTTCATATTAACTGCTGTTGATGGCATTTTGTAGGATCTGGATGGGGCTGGTGATGAAGTCTATAAAAGCAAATGGAAGAAAGGAAGTTGGAAGTTTCTCTAAGCTTCTCTCACACCATCAGGTTATATTCTTTAATAAAGTGCCTAAATGCACCGGACATGACTTTGAGCCCCAGGATATTTAATATCGTTGACTAATCCACAGTTATGTGGCATTAGTACTAGCTTCGCCTTTTAACTTCACCTTTTAACTTTTTATTTTGAAATAATTAAACTCACAAGAGTTGACAAAAAGAGCATAGAGTTTCCATACACCCTCCACCCAGCTTCCCTGATTGTTACAGTTTACAAAGTGTGTGACATTTTTCAGAACTGAGAGATTAACATGGAACTAGTCAACTTTGATATTATTGGTATGAAACTATAGACTTCGTTTAAGTTATACCAGTTTTTCCACAAATGCATCTTTTTTTTCTGTTCCGAGATCCAGTTGAATTTAGCCCCCTCTTATTTTTAGTAACTAATACAAAGAGACATCAGTGGTCATCTGTAGATGGTCTGAATGCTGGTGGTCCCTGCAAAAATGACATTTTGGCAGCCTTTAAAACATTCTGAAGCAAAGTGGGAGCCTGGTATAAATTTGATCTTAAAATAATTATGCTTTGCTAGAGTTGCGGTTCTCAGCCTTGACCGCACACTGGCGTCACTAAGACATTTTATAAAATACCAGTGCCTGGGACGTACCCCCTGAATTCTGATTTATTTGGTCTGGCGGTGGCCTGAACATCAAGATCTTTCAAAGGCCCCGGACAGATTGTAACATGTAGCCGAGTTTGAAAACCCCTGTTCTAGAGGGAGAAGGGAAAGTTGGAGTAAATTTCTTCTGCCTCCTCCCTGAGATCCGAGAAGAAAAGCTGAGTTCACTCAAACTTTGAGTATTTGAGGCCAGACATCGCCAGTTATGTCATGACACATGCCGGAGACTTGCACAGTTAGAAATTGTCTCTGTTCCAGGGAGAATCAGGAAACCTGCTGTTTGAGGACCAGCTCAGATTCAGTGTTTCCATGAGCCATACGCTATAACTGAAATTTTCAGTCCTTGGATCCCATCATTTAAGGAAAGTTATTTGTACATTTTATTTTTGAGAAATTTCCGTGGACTATTTGGTTTTAACACCCAAGTTTTGTTTTGTTTTGTTTTCAGAGCCCATGCTTCTGGTTGCATAATTTAAATCAGTAAAGCCCTGTTTGCAGTTATCTGATCTACTCTCCATCATCATTTTGTTTTCTCTGTTTGGGTTTTTCTTTTTTTTTTTTTTTTTTTTTTAAGATTTTATTTATTTATTTGACAGGGAGAACACAAGCAGGGGGGAGCAGAAGATGGAGAGGGAGAAGCAGGATCTCTGCTGAGCAGAGAGCCCGATGTGGGATGTGATCCCAGCACCCTGGGATCTTGACCTGATCCGAAAGCAGATGCTTAACCAACTGAGCCACCCTGACACCCCTGTTTGGGTTTCTTTTTCAAGGAAAATTCTTTATTGAGGTGTAATTGATACACGAAGAACCATGCATATTTCATGTGTACAATTCAATGAATTTAGACATATGCAAACACCCTTCACAGCCAGGTGTGTATAGTTAAGTTTTAAGTTTTTAACTGTTGACAGAAGATCCCATCATCAAAAGCTCTACATAACTTTTATCCTACGGGTGCCTGACTGGGCTCAGTAGGTAGAGACTGTGACTCTTGATCTCAGGTTCGAGAATTCAAACCCCACACTGGGTGTAGAGCCTACTTAAAAAAGTAATGGTAGGGGCACCTGGGTGGCATAGACAGTTAAGCATCTGATTCTTGGTTTTGGCTCTGGTTGTGGTCCCAGAGTCCCAAGATCAAGCTGTGTATCAGGCTCTGCACTCAGTGTGGAATCTTCTTATGAGTTTCTCTCCCTCTCCCTCCTCCCA